AGACTTTGTAAAAATAACTCAATGGATTACAGGAACCTTTTCTGATCTGCATCTACTGTAAGGCTTGGTCTATATTTACTGTAATGAAATTACAGTAGGAGCCTTAGAAGGCTCTACTGGTGTGAGCCTCTGTGGTTGCTTTTCCTGGAAAGTCTATCAGGATTCAGTATATCAACTGCCACTGGAAATCATTCCAGCTGGAACTACGCTGATGAAATTTTTGTATCACCTATTTAAGTCAATACTTTTTTGTTCCCTGCCCCCTTATGTCAGTCACTTGACACGGATAAGCGTGGTGGTGTTGCTGAAGTGCCTGGGAGCTTTATTAGGTTCTACATGAAAACTGAGCTCCTTGCTCAGTGAGAAATATCACCAGGCATAAAACAATAAAGGTTATTTTGCCCCAAAATGGAGATTTAGGGATTTTGAAGAATGCCTTTATTCTGGCCTTATTTTCCACCAGAAATATTTATTACAAAATCAGAAATGTTTGCAGTTGATTTGTTTAAAAAACATAGATGTGAACTAATGAAGTTTATAGATCATTTCTAAAATACTACTGTATTTATACTGTATTCATTTATAAAATACTACTATATACAACATAGTGTAAGAGATGGTTTCACTAAACAGAGTGAATACCCCTTAGAGTATCTGATAACATGAAAATCAGTTTATTTTATAACTCATACAGGGTGGTTTTTAAAGCCCAGCTCTAGCACAGCTAGAAATATTGTGACAAGCAATTACCATCAGCACTTGACATCTTTATTTCAAGTTGAGTTTTTTTAAAATCCTTTTTCCATCTAAGGGAGTTTCATTTCATGTGATTTAACATGTACAAATCCCTGAAAATGAAAAAGAAATGCAAACAAGCTATTTTCCATCTCACCATCATGTCTGTGGAGAGGGGAAGCACAAGCTGACTTACTGGGGCTTTAGAACAACAAAAACTCAGAGGAGGTCCCTAAATAAAACGATATCTAATTACTGGAGCAATAGATGTCACATCCTTTCAAACTTTTAAACGTAATAGAAATCATCTAAAATAGCTTTTTGTCATCGCATAGTAAGAGGGGACTGGATAAGAGGTGACATAATGAGGGAAGCCACAAAACAAAAAAAAGGGGGGGAGGGGGGATGTATTCTCCATGTTTTTCAGGTAGGGACATACTACTTTATGCAATCTGATCATAGGGTAATTCAGGTTGTAAGAGACTGATAAATTTATCTGCCATAATGCACGTTGAAATGCTCTAAGGTTACTCTGGTGCAGATGACTAATTAATACCCGGAATTGGCTCCACAATTTGCACTTTTCCAGATTTGCAGAGTTGAGGTCTCAGATTCCTTAGACGTGCGCTCAGGCACACAAGTGAGTTCTTAAGCATCTAAAATCAACCTTATGTTCTGTCAGCCTCACCCTTTTCTCTGAGAAGACATTCATACACACTAAGTCCAATGACAAAAGGATAATGAAAGCCAATGATAATAACAGCTGCAGGGAGCTCTTTTCCTTCCACATTCTCTTGGGAATTGCTCCCATGACCCCTTTTGTCCACACCAGTGAACTCTCGGTAGGCAGTAGCAGCAACATCTGATACAAAATGGATGTTGCAGTGGTTGGAAACTTTTAAAAATAGAAATGTATCTAAATCTCACCTAACTAGCTTTCAAATCTGATGGCATTGCATGATTTTGCTCTGAATTTTATGATGAGCTCTAGAGATTAGGTTTCATAATCTCTGCCAACGATGTACTTTTAATGTCTGTAATTATGTGTCTTGCAACAATTTATTAGGAGACTGTTACACGTTCTTGATGGCATTTTCATGTTGCTGAATCCTTGGGGAATTAGGCAAACACACCGAGCAACCTGCAGATTTCTGAAAATTTATTTCCTCTTTCAAATATATTTAGAAGCATTGGTATAAGAGATCTAAGAAAGTCACTTTTGGCTAGAGAGGAGAGATCACTCTATCAGTGGTACAGTCAAATAGCAGCAAAATGCTTCCCTAATAGCATCAGCAGCATTTGCAGCAAAAAATGTTGGAATCTGAGTGTGTGTAAAGGTGTGCAGTGTGACTCTGTGGCTTACCACTGGGCTCAAAGCCTGCCAGGTGGTGGTGGTGGTATGTTCTAGCTTGCTGGGTTCACAAAGCTAAACCTTACCAACACTGGGATCTTCTTATTTCTGGCCTGCAATGCCTCTGAAGTAATTGTGAATATATATTTAGAAGCTTGTTTAATTTGTAGTTCTGAATTACTCTGAAAAAAAGCCCCCCCTAATTGCTAGGATACAAGAAATGAGAGTTGCAGCTACAGATGACAGTGCATCACAGCGGCTCGTATTCAGTAAAACATAATTGAAATGCATCCAATTCTTACTTTTCCCAATCTCATTAACCTCTGACCTCAGCAGTGCAATTTTCTCTTTGTGCAGCCACAGGTGTGATGAGTTGCATTATTTTGCTGAACGCCTTTGGATTTTACAATCCATAAACTCACAGTATGTAGCCTACATCATTTCTGAAGCTGGCCTAAAGTCACACTGACTGACTCCAGACCATGATTTGCTTTAGGTTGCTGAGTTTGGCTTGCAGAGCCCAGTCCTGGTTCCATTAAACAGTAGGGTTCTTTCCATTGGCTCTTACAGGACTTGGCTGGGGTTTATCACATGCAATTCCTCTGATACCCTCTTCTCTCTGAAATATTCTTAAAGAAAATTGTAATATGATTTGAAGAATAACAACATCAGGCCAGACTTTCAGTTCCTGTAAAGCAGAATGGATTTTTTTTTTTCATTTCAGTAAAACTATGCTAATTTACACGAGCTTAATATCTTTACATACAACCTAATATCTCTTTAATAAGCCACAAAGCTCTCTAAACTCATTTATATGATAACCAAAACAGTTTAAACAATATTTCACATTGGAGCAAAGTTCTATGTAATGAAACAGCTTTTTTTTTTTAACCTGACTTCTGTAGAATATTGTGGATATAATCTTTGATTTAGTCTTAATGCATAGCAGAACAATCCATATTTTCTTCCTCTGTGATGCTATTATGTGATAATGTTTAATGTTTTCTTAGATGTTTGCCCCTCACAAGATTCCAGTGTTTCAGCTGAAACACAGATTGTATAGAGAACAGCTTCAGTGGCAGCCCTGCCTCACACACAGCACAGATAATGAAGGTTCTCAGCAATCTCAAACACGTTGTTAGATTTGATTTAACAGGAAGGATTTTTGCTGTTATAATTTACTGTGGAGCAGTGGGAAAATTCATGAGTGTCATGAATTTGACATCGATAACCAATGAATAAAATGCATTATTATGCTATGCAGTCTTTTCTTTCTCAGAGCTCTCATGTAATGGAAAAACTGGATGATGTGGATTATAAAATCACAGACAAAAATTTCACCTTCAGCTGAAATGTGTTAGAGTGGAAAGTGGTTTTATGTATCCATATACATGACTTATATGTAAGAGAATTCATTTATGTCTCTGTGAATCTGGAACAACTTCAAAGTTCTTCTGAATTTGTGTTGGTGTAACTGAAACCAAAATATGGCTGTAGGACTAAAATGGTGAACTTGTGGCATAGCACAGCAGAAATAAAAACTGTTTAGGATGCAGAAAAATCCAGTCTCTATAGCAGGCAAGCATTCAAGGAATTCCAATCCAATAGGAGTAAGATAGAAGATGTACCTTTAAGTGAGATTCAGGAAAGAACATGCCAGCAGCAGGTTTTATTTGTCTGTGCAGCAATCCTTAAGGGAAATTGAACCAAATATACTTTTCACTAACTTTCTATTCCTAACTCTTAATCAAAAGTCCAGATTGTACCTTCTTTTGGAAAGTGAACCCTCTCATAACATGGGGGAACTGAAATCCAGCAGCACCTCATTTAATCCCACTGCAGTATCAGATGTAGTGGACTGAAGTTGTTTTGAAAATGCTTTTACTCCAAAAATTTTGGAGGGGGGTGGAGGGGAGGTTATTTCTCCAGATATAGTTTATAAGCATTCAAATAGGAGAGAGGTGCTAAATAAAATTCTGTAAACCGTTGTCTCAAGGCTTTGTCAGCATTTGAACAGCACTTTTCAATTTAACGTAAAAAACATTTGCTTCCTTTATGACTAAAGACATGACTCAAATCCCGTACTGCTGTAGGCTGATCATACGGTTTTAAATTCAAAATGAGGGCTTGAAGTTAATGTTTTATTCATGTCAAAAGCGTATTTTTGGGCTGAGGTAGGGCATTGATACGTTTTGGTTTGAAGAGTTACCTTTTTGCCTTCTATCATGTATTTTTGTTTAATGAGAGATTAGTTTTATTTTTTTGCTTTGTCATTTTATGCTGTGCCTACCAATCTAGATTGTTGCAAAAGGTTAATGGGTGGCATAAATCTCAGAACTGTAAATAGAATCAGCCCTCTAGTGAGCTGTGGGCATGCAGAACAACGCACACATCCATCACAGCCATAAGTCCAAATGCCATTGCCAGAAATGCGTTAAAGGCATTTGTCCAAGGGTGGTGTTTTCACAAGGTAGATCTTTAATTTCTTGTGCTGTGGCTGAATGATTCTTTGCATCTATCCTGAATACATAAGCCAGCTTCTAGACCTACAAAATAGTATCTTCACCAACACATCTGAGGAACACCCCTGTTCCATACCTGCTTCGTTTATGCTAAACACATGAACACCAGGATCACAGTGTCGTATGACTTGAAAAACATGTAGACATGTTTACATCAAACAGGAAAATATTTAAAGATACTATTTCACTTTCTTACCATTTCTTCTTACTCATAGTTCTGAAATTTAGATGGCAAACGTTCTACTATTTCTTTTTCTGTCCTTTTATTGTAAAGCAGACTACTAACGTTAAGTCTATGGATATAGAGAAAGTGCAGTTTTTTCCAGTAGAAAAAAATTCCACTGACTGGCTCGCCTTGAAGACTTCTGTTTTCCTCTCTTATGTCATTTCAGATGCTGCACAACAAGCATGTGATGGTCCGTGTTGGAGGAGGATGGGAGACTTTTGCAGGTTACTTACTGAAGCACGACCCATGCCGAATGCTGCAGATCTCACGAGCAGATGGGAAAACCTCTCCAATCCAGAGCAAGTCTCCAACTCTCAGGGACATGAATCCAGACAACTATCTGGTTGTTTCTGCCCATTACAAAACCAAGAAGGAGATTAAGTGAAATAAGCTTCCCATGCGATTGGGACTCTATATACGTAGGTCCAAATTATTTTCACAAGTGTAGTAAATTTAGTTCATGCTTTAAAAGGACTTCAGAAAACTTAAGACAGACTGGAAATGGCAGCCCATTTTGAAGATCTCTGAATTGTAGAACTATTTATTTCTAGTACTGTATCTTTTATAGCAAAATACCCCTGCTAGGTTAATTACTACAGTCCTATAAGAAATAGACATATATTTTTAGCCAAATTATTATTCTTTAATACATGAATGTATACACAGAGTTACATAAAGGTGTGGATCCTGTTAATGGAAGAAATTACATAATACAAGATATTTGTATGAAAATGTTATGACATTGAATCCTTGACTGTTAGGCTAGTTGAAAAATATATCTATGCAGGTGGAAAGAAGTATTGGTGAGAATTATTTGGTAATGCCTCTTGAAATGGGAATTGACTGGTTTTTATGGGTTGGAAGATTTTTTTTTAACCAACAGAGTATAGACTCGTTGCATGCCAAACAACTTCCCAAAGTGATTACTTAAGAAAAAAAGCCCAAGAAGAAAGACCCACTAGCCTTGTACTCTTTAAAGCTAAAGACAATGCTTAGTGCTAGATGTGCATGTAGATCCTTCCTGTTCCTGACGAAGCTGCCCCATATAGAAAGAGGAGGAAGCCAAGAGGTTGCCCCTTCCTCTCCCAGACAATAGTGTTGGCTAGTACGAGCAGGATGCACAGCCAAGGGAGGGGGGTTCAAAAGATGAATCTGAGCTTTTCCTTCCCCTTATTTGTAATTCTGCTGGCCATGCCAAATATAAAATATTCATTACCCTGTCAGTTGAGTGATTCACATTCTTGTAAATCATTCACACACCTCTAAAATAGCTAAAGGCGTATTGGGGCTTAGTTCATAATTTTGGCTTCTCTTCTTTGTTTATATTTGGTAATTTATGTGCCTTATAACTTCCTACAAAAAATCATTTTATAGGATTATTTCACTGACTTATAAATTTGAGCAGAACTTATTTCATTACAAATGAAATAAACATTTTAAAAATACACATTTTTGGTATTTGTAATCTGTACTCCTGTGCTTTGCTGCTACTGACTGGATGCCTACAGCGTAGAACTTCTCACTGACCTTGTAAGAAATGGAACAGAGAGTGTTGCAAGATAGCACAGAAAATACCTGGATTTTATTGAAAAATAAATATTTTTTCTTTGCAGGAAAGAAAAGGATCAAGTTGTTCTGGAAGTTTTAAAGTGTCAGTTGCTATTCCTCTGTGTTTTTCTTTATAAGTTGAACTGGAAGGCATACAAATGCATACAATGTATACATATAAGGATGTGCTGCTGTGTTCTTTAAAGGCAAAATTTCTACTGACTAGAGCAAGATAGGATCAAGACTTTCCTCTTTCATGCTGGATGCCTTACTGAAATCAGCATGTTTTACCATGCTTGGCAGAACCACCCACCTTACTGCCTACAAATATCTGCTCAACACGAACAGCACACAACTGTTCAGCACACTAAGCAGCAGTATGGAACTCCAAGCAGGTCTTTAGAAAGAACCTTTGTAGCCTTCATTTTAAGCAACTTTCTAGGAGAAGTAAATATAAACTCAGCCAGACCTTTGAAAGGCCATAGGAAGAGCACATTTTCATAGAAGCAAGGTACTTAGGCCTCCTAGGCTAAATAGGAGTGGAAAACGTAAGCCTTATGGGAATGGGAAAGCAAAATTAGTTAAAAAAAGAAAGCACAGAAGCACAGCTGAGGAAAAAAAAATGTTCTTAATATATGCAGAGAGATTTGTTTGCAAATTAAGAGAGAAGAAAAACTTGAGAAGGTTTTTGGTTGTCTATTTTTGGAATGATGGTTACTCCTTCAAGTATAAATTGTTGTGTTTCCATCATCCAAGATTAAGTTTACATAACTGTGTTTTCTTTGAAATGTTTGAAGATATTTACATGTTGCTAGATTAAGAGCAGATGCTTGTAGTTACACACAAACAAAGTGTATTTAGATTTATTTCAATGTTAAGCTTCAACAAATAATCCTGGTAAATCCGAACCAAGATTTTAAATAATAATTAAAAAGAAGAACTGATGTATCTCATTGGACTTCAGCTATCAAAATAATCTTTTGTAATCTCAACCTTCTCAAAAGCACATAAGAACAGTTCCTAACACCTGGACTTAATCAGTAACAGAATGGGAGATCTTGGAGATCTTACAGGACTTTTTACAGCATTGCCCATTAACACCTGGCATGACTGAGATGGGGGCTTGCTGCATTAGATGCATCTGGGATGGATGTGGTGAGCAGAGGAGCAGTTGAGGTGGAAGCAGCAGTAAAACCAACCAACCAACCACTGCAGTAAATTAACCAGTTATGCAAACAAGGGTGGGAATATCTCATTTAGAAGGTAAGTGTATCTTGTGATTGAAATGGCTTTTTCTTATTGTATTAGACCTTATGGTGACGTAGGAGTTGTAGAATTTACTGAGATGCAGTTTGCTCTGAGTAGTTAGGAACCTGAAACTTAATTTACCAAGCCAAAACACTACCAAAATCTTGTAGCAAACAATGCCCTTGTTATCTAACAATGATGGGAACAGAACTGCGTTCTTGTAGGAAGTGTTTGTGGAGGAAAATGTGTTTCACTGGTTAGATGTTGTGAGTAATATTGCAGTTTCTGTTTTCCCAATATATGATATTAAGGTATCTAGCCCAGACTTTTAGGAGACTGCACTGAATAGCAGAGGATCAACAGGAAGAATCTGCAACTTCCATCTCACCCTCTGACTGAGGAGTGGCCTGTTGAAACCATGAAATAGTTGCTTGGTAGAAGAGCCAGGTGATGCAATCAAATGAGAAGATAACTGAGAGGAAGGGTGCTTCACAGTGATTTTTGCCTTACTTGATCTCCGTATAACTCAGTTGAAAGTGAATGCTGAGAATACTGAAAGCCACATACAACCAGGTTGCTATGAGCTGCAGCACAGCCTCTTTTCAAGGGCTGAGTTGGGTCATAGAAAAGGCGATACGGAAGCACCTGTTAGCTGTGAACAAGCAGTGCTAAGGCTCAAGATGGTTAATCAGTGTAAATGGATTTTAAAAGCTGTTGTTCTACAATACCAAATAAGCATTGCAATTCTGGAAGCAATTCAGAAATACTTTGGAAATTCTCATTATAAAACCTGTTACTGGGTTGCACAGGAGGTACCTTATGTTACCTTGATGCTCATATACTACCCACAATTTTGTTTCGAAGCAGGATTATGCACATAATTGAACTGACAATTTTTTTTTTTTTTTTATTTTACCAACAATTGCACATTTATTTGCATTACCACCTTGGTTTATTGTTTTTGTTGTTGCTTTTTTTTTTTTTTTTTTTTTTTTTAGTGACATTTCAGGGAAGGTTTATAAAATCCATGGTAACCAGCTCAAGGGCTGTTTGGTGGGGATGAGCAAAATAGTGAAGTGTGAATATATGCGTGTGGGAAGGCAGAGCAAGCCTCTTATGAGGCCCAACGCTGAATTCATTACATGCGTTCATTTTAGATCAGGGAGATGTTTGTGGGTTTGTCATACCACAGCGTTACAGAAGCATCCTACAGATAGTTTGGTTCCTTTAGGGCTTGCATTTCCTACTGCCTTGCTGGCTGCTGATGTATATAGTACCTGACAGGGAAGGAAGAACTGTTTTTTCATTGCTTTGCTTCTTAGCCTGTTTGGAATCTATGGTAAAGTTAAGCAGATGTGTGAGATCCCAAAAACATGTATGGTGCTGGAGAGGTTCTTCGATCTTAGTCCTACTGCTGCACCACTTGTGTCTGATGAGCTGCATCCCAGAGATTCAGTCTGGTTTTGTGCTAAAGCCAAATGCTGAAGCCATCTAGTTCTAAGGGCTCACAACGGTGCTACCTACCTGTGGGGACACACAGCTTCTGTGTCCTTCCAAACCTCAGGAAGTCCAGCCCCAAACCTTCTTTGTGTGGCATCATGAGTATAGTTTGACAATATGCAGTAGCAGATGGCTTCACTCTCTCTGACTGCACCAATTGTTCTACTGCTGGGAGTCAGCCCTTTCATTGCAATGTAGCAGTACTGCTCTCTGGCTACCAGGAGTTTTTCTAGTGCCCTGCTTTCAGAAGGCAGACAAAAGAGGTAGTTACACTGCTGAAAAGCAAACAGCATCAACCACCTAGCTAATCTGAGTAGATTTTAAGCAGATTTATTCTCTTTGGTGAAATAAGCAGTTAGGACGAGGGGAAATGACAAAATTCCTACTATATTTGATATTTACTTAGTGAACCACAAGGCGATAAGAAACAGGGAGGTACCTATTTCTAAAAGTAGCTTTTACCTTTACTGCTTAATGGTATTTTTCAGGTAACTATTACTTGTGCACTTCTGATCTGCAATATATTTTACTTTTATTCTGCACTGAAATAAATGTTACTAAAAAGTTTATGAAAACAAGTGTTTCTATTCACCCAAATAATTCCCCAGGCTGAGTTCAGATAGGGGTCACCCAAACAATTAAATATGGTGCAGAAGCCTGTTTAAAAACTGCTTTTTTTGAATGTACAGGTTTGAAATAGCCCCCGTGACAAAGCTCAGTGCTGAGTGCCACATAAATATCTCTGTAGGATGCCCACTGCTACAGATATTGGATCAGAATTCGCATTTCAAACCTACATTTAATATTTGATGACATTTTGATGTATTTTCATTATACTTAATTGGTCATAGTCATTTTATTATTATTATTTTTAAATACAGTTATGTGAACAAGTGCCAACAATCAAAGGAAGCTAAAGGTATTCAGCTGCCAAGGACACAAGCTTTTAGCCCCGGTGCTACTGTAAGATCTCTTTTTTGAACCTAATGACTAAGGCTAAGCCAGGAACTCACTGGGTCACAGCCATACTCCTAAGACAGCGTGAGACACTATTTGGGGAAGAAAAATAAGTTTTTACTTCAGGAAAGGTTAAAAAAAAAAAAAAAAAAAGCCTTTGCAGCCTCAACTAGGTCAAAAACGAGGTCGGTGATGCACTGAGGCAGACACGATGCTCTCCATGGAACGCAGGCACTAGGCTCTTCGTGTTGGTCATGCTGCAACAAGCTTTGCTCATCTATCAAAGCAGTGGCTTGAGGTCACTGGTGTGGAAGTCTGGCTCTACCGTAGGTTAGGCAGCTCCAAATAATCAAAGGCAGTTTCACATTAGAAAAAGGGATTACAGACATCACTAGATACAAAAGAAAAACAGCAGAGCTCCAAGCACTTGGCAAATGTGATTGCACTGTAACAAACCCACCCAGATAGCACAGAAATCTCATCAAAGGAACCATCCAAGAGCAGGTCTTTAATTTTGTTTTTCAGAATTCTCTGAAGTGCAGTACTGCCCTCTACGTTCAAAATAAAACAATTCATCAACAGTATCTCAAACTTAGTGTTTACCTTCCAGTGTTCATTATAAATACATACTCTAAAGGAATTTACATACACAAGCAAGGAGAAAAACTGTCAGGCTCACAATAAAACAGCTTCCTTGCTGCAAGTGCAAAACAAGCTTTATAAAGATATTTTATTTTTTTAGGTAGTGTCACAAAAAAAGCTTCAGTTTCTAACGGCCTGCTATGGATCTGCTTTAGTTTTTTGGGTTATTTTTTTTTCCTTTAAGAGAAAAAATGGTGCTAAATCCTCAAGTAGTTCAAAAGTAATTAGGAAACCCAAGGGAGATGCATATGCAGGGGCACCTGAACTGTGCCTAAATTGGACATACGCACATATTGTACCAATTGACCACATAACACACACGCAGACTTACAAGTAAAGGTCACTTCTTTGTGAGAAAACCCTTCTTGCTCCCTTAATAGGGAAGCAAAATATGCGCACACAGAACAAAAATTGGCCAAAACCTAATCGTTCAGAGGCTGGAGTTGTTCATTTTCTTAGTACTTGTTTGCACATCTGCCCTCCTACGATGGCAAAGTACCGCTGAGTCTTTGTATGCAAACAGCAAGAAGCCACATGATGAGTAAGTGCCACTCCGCTGCAGAAACTGGCAAGTTCTTGGCAGTAAAAATCAATCTCATCTCCAGAAGTCACGCTTCTTTATCCAACCTGCCACTACACACAAAAACAACAACAGTGAACCACGGGTTTGTGTGAAAAGGAAGAAAGATATCTACACCACAAGACAATAAACTCCCCATTCTAATATAGGCTATATCCTGAAAGTGATATGGACACAGTGCTTGCTGATAGCAGACACAAAACTCTATGCCCAGAGTTTTATTAATGTGAATCCCCTCATGTATAGCAGTAAGGGGAAGAGAAGAATGCTTATGAAGCCTGAGTTTGAAGAACTGGCTACATCTACTGCCCCAGAGAGCTTCTAATTCTGTTAAAATTCCAATTTGCCTTCAAAGTTTACTCCACAAAAGTTGTAGTCACAGCAGCAGTAGAATTCATTAGGACATATGCCAGTGTGGTATGTTTTGGTAGAAAAACAAAGCTCTCTGCCATCCATGCTGTCCCAGTGTGCCTCAGAAATGAAATCTTGAGCACACAGTGTGATAATGACACATGCTTCCATTTCTCTTCCTCCTGGGTTTTTCATTTTCATCTTGTGGGAAACAACAAAAAACAGGATATTCTTCACTGGATTACACTGTTTCATTTTTAAACTTACTCTAAGGCCTCCTTCTCCTCCAGTACCTGATGCTGCCATTCTTTTTTCTATTTCTTCCTGCTTCTTTTTCTTTTGCTCTACAGAGTAAGCGTTCTTAATACCTCGAGAGGAAGCCTGTGAGAAAACACATTTGCAGAAAGACAGTTATCTGAAAAAGCCAAACTGAAAGTCTTGGCAACAGCATTTTGTGAACTCTGGTTTGCATGAATTGACTGGAGCAGTATGTAAATGCTACTATGACAAAAGAACAGACCTCTTCATATACCTCTAGATATTGAACGCTGTCTTTCCTGTAGTTACATGAAAGAAGTCTTGTTTCCTATTCATACATCTAGATAAACATACTTAATCACACGTACCTAGTCTGCACGTCTGAAGACTCAAAGCCACGATTTCTCTTTCCCGTAAGCCCCACAAGCATTTGGTTTTTAGATTTTTCCAGTGTCTGGGCCTAATTCTGTGCTTATGAACAAAACGAACTAGGAAGAGACAACTTAGGCAGGTAGAATAACTTCCAAGAAGTTTTTCTGTTTCCTAATTCCTTCGTATCTCTCACCTCCTCTTGTCATATGGACATCTAAAAGATAGGATACTTACAGTGGAAATAATGACAGTTTCTATTCTAACAGTAAGTGGATAGAAAAAGCTGCAGGCTCCACATTGCTATGGCAGAAATTGATGTAGTCTTTATGTGCATAGAAAAACCAACAACAAAAACATGCTGGTAATGCATGCCCAGGTTTTAAGAAATCCAACTTTTAAAGAGTGGTGTGGGAAAACCAGCCTGTGTGATAGGTCTTCCTTCAGGGGTCTTGTGGGCAGCAGTACCAGATCCGGCAGAAGCACATACATGAGAAACCTGTTGTTGATTGTCTGCTTTGCATCCTCATAATGATGGCCTAGCAAAGCCCTAGACTAGATGACAGGAATGCCGGATACAGGGAAAACATAGTTAATGCTGTATAATGACAAAGAAAATATTCTTCAAACTGATTTTCAGTTAAGTTCAGGGTTCTGATATTACAGCAGGAGCCATGCAGAAAACCTTAAAATCTACAAATGGAAAACAGAAATTATATCCCCCAAAATTCAAGGCGCTTACAAAGAGCATAATTTGCAATGGGCAACGATGGTAAATCTTACCAACAAGTACTGACTTAATTATATCCTGTGACTTCTAGCCTCTGGGTACCTGGCCTTCTAGGTAAGTTAGGAACGTATGTTCTCTACAGGAAACCAGAAGGAAGAGCACCTTTCATGTGCAAGAAAATCTCAAGCAGAGACAACATCTGACAAAGTACTTTGCCTCTCATACTGGGCAATTGAATTAGGTGGCAAGCAAGCTATCTTATCTGTTACTCAGCATTCAGGGCTTAAAATGCACTCCTAGTCCTGCAAAATCCTGGCAGAATTTTCTCTTTTTCTTCTTACAGAAAGTAACACCACATACTTCTGTTTTCTTGCGTTTTCTTTAGTTAGCCTAATAGCTAGTACAGAACTCCAAAACTATTTGCAACTAAAGTTGCTTCACTGCAACTTCCTCCAAGGAAACCATTTCAGCAATGTAAGAGCTAGATAAGAGAGTTCAGGTTAGACGTAAGGAAGAAATTCTTCACCTCAGGCAGTGAGGCACAGCAGCAGAGAGCTGTGAGTGCCCGATTCCTGGGTGTTCAAGGCCAGATTGAATGGGGCCTCGGCAGCCAGAGCTGATGGGGGGGCAACCAGCCCATGGCAGGTGCAGGAACTGGCTGGTCTTTGAAGTCCCTTCTAATATAAGCCATTCTACGATTGCAGGAGGATATTGTTTTTTGTGTACTTCTCAAAAGTGTATGTAAAGGAGTCATCCTCAAACAAAAGCCCAAACCAAGCTTTGAGATTCAAGGTTACGGGTGGATTCCTTTTACCCAGGCCTGATGGGTTTGCTGCACAAACCGCAGCTCCTTTCCCCACGCAACCGTCACCTAAACACATTCTGAAGGAAGGGCGTTGCGCCAGGCGCAGTTACCTCCATCTGCCTCTTCTCAGCAGCTTCTGCGAGCTGTCTTCTTTTAATTTCCTAAAGGAAACGTGAAAGACGGTTATTCCAACCCGTTTTTATCCGGCTTTTCCTCCGCACGGCCTCCCGGGTGGAGAAGCGGCCGCCCCCAACGGCCTCAGGGCGGGAAGAGCACCGGGCGCGGCCTGCACCTCAGCGCGGGCGGCCGCCGCAATCCCCCCGCACTCACCGGGTCGGGCGTCTCCACCACGTCCTTGACGGCGCCCCCCATGCAGGGCAGGCACAGCCCCATGGCCGCGCCGCCGCACGGCTGCCTGCGCTCCGCCGAAGGGGAGGCAGCGCCCCGCCCCGTCACAAGGCCGAGTGAGCCGGGCCGCCGGGGGCGGAGATGGGCTGCTGGGCGCTTTGTTCTAAATGCGGCCTTAGCAGGGCAGGGAGCGGGCGGAGAATCGATTTGCTCAGCCTGCTGACCGTGATCCTTTCAACGCGCCACGAATACCAGTGTGCTTCTGGGCCGTAAGGGCAGGCTGCCGGCTCGTGGCCATCGGAACACCCAGATCCTTTTCCTCAGAACTCAGTGTCTTCTGTTTACAGTAAATGCACGTGTTTATTTTTACGTATCTGAAGCACGAGACGTTTTTATAGGACTCAGCCTCATGCGCTGCTTTCCTCCTCAATTGCTCCTCAATTCCACCTGGAGAAGTCAGAGAGCTGAGGGTGAAGTGTCTTAGAGAGGCTCCCCAAACCCAAATGTGATGCAGTGAGGAGTCTTGGGACACCCAGCCCTGTGAAGTCAAATCTCCATGCAGTGCCTCTTTCATACTGCTGGAGCAAAAGGGACAGTGATTAATTTCCAGCTCTCTCTGCTAGATCTCACGCGTGACTTGGAATTTACTGGAGTTAAGTGTGCTGAAATGATTATTGGCCTTTTCATTCCCTGGTATTATGCTGCCATCCACTGACGCTCAGCAGTGGATGCTGCTTCCACACGTTGGGTTGTTCACATACTGGTGTTGACAAGGCAGTGATGATACTGACATCGTATGTCAGGAGAAGTGTTTCGTGGGGTCAGTGGGAAGCCTCTGATTTCCTGATTCACAAACCTGAGAGAACTCATCCCTCTCACCAGGCAAAACAGCATTTTGCTGTCACTGATCAGGCAAAATTCAGTTCTGAGCATCAGACCACTGAATCAGGAGGCATATCAGTGTGAGAAATAATACTCATTGATATTTATCTATGATTATCTATATTTTCCATCAACATGATTAGTGTTCCATCTAATTATGTTGGTTCAGCCCAGCTGTATCTGTTTCAATGCCTGGCTGCCCTTTGGTGCAGTTGTTCATGAAGTGATAACCCGGAAGCTTCTGATTTCTGCTGCCCTGTAGCATTACTCCTGTTCTTGCCTGAATTGGGTGTACTGGGTCCTTTTGGAGCCTGGCAGGTGTCAGCATAAAGGAGTTAGGTTATGGTTAAGGATAAAACCACATTTGGGTGTACAGTGCTTTATTTTGCATTCAGCCTTTTGTCTACTTAGAAACGGTTGGCTGTGGTGTAGTGTCATGAATTTCCATGCAAGCCTCTTTTTTCCATGCTGACCAGTAAGACTTCCATCTATTTGTTGGTACAGTATTTTCCAAAAGCCTTTTTCTCTTTCCTGGCTCTGGGACTACTTACGTTTCTTTTTCTTAAAATGTCACCATCATCTTTTTTATCTTAATTATTAACTATGGCATTACCCTGTTCAACACTGCCTGAGTTTATGTTTGTATCTACAGTCCTTCCCAAGGGTTATGCAAAGTGTTACAAGTACTCTACAAAAACAATATGACATCTGTGCAGTTTCTTTCCTGTGATTTTGGTCAACATCTATCGTTTTGCACCAATGTTCTTGCACAGATGTCCTGCCGTTTATTCCACAAGCACATGACATCACACATTACTGTAGTTTTAGTTATTGTGTTTGTTCCTGGCAGCTATAACCATCCATCAGTGAGGATTATTGTGTCACTAAGTAATGATCTCTGACAAGCCTGTTGTGGAAATGCCAAATCACGGCCTGAACCAGTAATTGAGCACTTGGTAGGAAAGTAGGTCCAACCCCAGGGGAGTTGCATGGTGCATGCAAGGTGCATGCAGGTGCATGCAAGAAGGGGAGCCAGGATCCATCCTTTCTCAGACCTCATTTGAGTGTTGAAGTTCAATAACTTTTCAGTAATTACTCTTATATCCTTTAAGAACTCAATTCTTCAGGCTTTATGCAATACGCTGAAAGAAACTGAATGTGGATTGTTTGAAATGAAATCAGGATTGTAGTGTGTTCAGAAACATGGATAACCTGTGGCAGACTGCAAGTTTCATACAAATGAATATTTGGAGAAATAAGAGGCTTGTAAATGGGAGGAATTGGCTTCACTGGGTTGCAGGAGCCAGGTGAGGATTGGTGCAAAGCTCCCCACCCTAAATCACTGGGGCAGCTGGTTCCCTGGCCAGCTGTGCAGGATGATGGCATGATGAGAACGTGAGCTGTCAGCAGATTTTAGGTGAATTCTCTTGCATTCTCTCAAGCTGTAGCAGCCTCTTTTTGCTCTTTTTTTGTTTTTTCCAGAGAGCTTTGCCCTGGGCTGGCAGTGTGTGTATGGAGCTCTACTTCTTCCCTAGGAGAAGGGTGAAGCTTGTCATCTGCAAACTGCGCTGTATTGATCACTTGACAGAATGACATGTGCTGATACTAAGATGATCAGGGGGCTGGAGCACCTCCCCTATGAGGACAGGCTGAGGGAGTTGGGCTTGTTCAGCCTGGAGAAGAGAAGGCTGCGGGGTGACCTCATTGCAGCCTATCAATACCTGAAGGGAACCTACACCCAGGAGGGGAGTAAACTCTTCAGAAGGGCTGACAACAGCAGGACTAGGGGAAATGGATCCAAGTTGAAGGAGGGAAGATTTAGGTTGGATGTTAGGGGGAAGTTCTTTACAAGGAGAGTGGTTAGGCCCTGGAACGGGCTGCCCAGGGAGGTTGTGGATGCCCCGTCCTTGGACGTGTTCAGGGCCAGGTTGGACGGGGTCCTGGGCAACCTGATCTGAATGTGTGTTTGGTGGCCCTGCTGGGCAGGGGGTTGGAACTACGTGATCCTTGAGGTCCCTTCCAACCCGGGTGATTCTGTGATTCTCAATTACAGGTAGCAAAGCTCTTTGGTTAATGCTGTGCTGAGGATTTCATAGCAGTGTAAGATCCATAATATTCATACTTCATAGAGCAGTAATAACAGAAAACACTGGGAGGTTTTGTTTGTTTTTTTCTTGTCTGCTTCTACCATGCTACCAAATACTGTCATGAAGTAACGCGTTTGTTTCGCAGTCATCTTAAATTGCTTCCGTGTAACTGTGGTATGTGCAGTAGCAGCATGGTTCTTGCATGTGTTGCTAGGTGATTTAACAGCAAATGTGTATAACAGAAGTGACCTTTCTGGAGCTTCATTAAGAAGGTCTGGCAGTTTGTTATATGTCTATCTGCAATAGTTAAATTATGATGGCATTTGTGTAAGGATGATCTTGATACAAGTCAATGTGGATAGGTCTAACTGCTCTGTATTCTTTTAGTCCACTAGGTGGTACTATTTGTACAAAAATTTCCTGTATTTCCCAGAACTGCACTTTTGATTTACTGTTTGGTGTTGGTATTGTGGGCACATATTGTGGCTTTGAATTGGAATAAGGATTGCAAGGAGTGTACTATTAGATTTCTGGAAGTCTCAGAAACTTTTTTTTAACGAGGAAAAAATCTGTGTCCTGTAAAGTTCTGTGGAAAAGAGGGGGGGGGAAAGATATTTCTTTAATTCTCTGTTATTTTGTGCATGTGATATAGGGCAGCTGCAAGGTAAGTTTCTTTAAGAACCCTAGCCAAATGACTCAGAGGCTGATGTTCTCTTCAAGGATGACAGTTATTTTATTTTTTTACCCATCATTACCCATAAATGGCTCTATGACTACAAAAGAGCACCTGTTGAGTTTAACAAGGAGGTTCCATCAGAGTTCTTGCTGGTTTAAATTCACTACAAAACCATAAAAAGATAAGGATCTACTGTTGCTTTTAGGTTAGAGTTTTCATAGTAATAACTGATTGTGGGGCAAGGGAAAGGAGTCAGCAGCATGGGATTAGCATGGCTTGCTGGCTTAGTATTTTGGCTACTTTTGTTGGAGTTTCTCCATTATTACTTTTTATATATTTTAGCTTAAGGATTATTGAAAAGGTCAGACTGCGGTCCAAGCTGTGAATAATCTCTGTTTTGAAAGTGCATCTTCTGCTAAGGTCCAGCAAAGTTGACCTTTTCTAAGTCATGGTTTGGCTTCATGGGCTTGCAGCTCATCGTGCTGAAGTTGCTTCATTAGCAGAGTATCCCTTGCCATTAGTCTCCCATCTTTCCTTATGGATTGCCACCATCATCTGTCCAGAAGCAAATGAGATCTATGGATATCGCTCGTGGGTGACTAAAACTTGAATGCTCTATACAGGCTTTCTACGTTGTCTTTCTGTGCAAAGTCATATACACATGAAACATTGAAATCAGTGGGAAAAAATCAGTGTAAAAATCAGTGGCCTCATATCCTTGAAATGAATCCGTAAAAAACAAAAACAAATAATAATAATAAAAAAGAACCTGCAAGTCCTGCTTGACTGAGTGAGTGCCCAGTGTATAGTGATAAACTTTGAAACCTGGCAATGCTCCTGCAGGTTATGTGTGGCTGTAAAAAAGAATGCTTCCAAGTACTGTGCTGAGATGCTTCCCGGTCTGGAATGCCTCACTGTGATAGTAATCAGGGGCTGCTAAAAGGACATTTCTTTAGAAGTGGAGATTGTAATTACAAAGTTTGCATCGTGAAATAGGTTGTGCTTGAGAACAAGGACAACTGAAACCAAAAAGGATGACTTTGCTGCTTTTTAAGGTCAATTTTCACTGTGCTTGCCTTCGTGCATGTCTGTGTTAGAGACCCACTAACCTGACACAGCAATGCATGTTAACAAGGAGAGATTTCGAATTAATGGATCTAGAGGTGTTGGCTGATTCTCAGCTGAAACTGAGCCACCAGTGTGCCCAAGTGGTCAAGAAACTCAATGTTGTCTCAGCAGTGTGAGGACAAACTTTGCAGGGCTAGACAGAAAAGCAAACATATTTACTGTACCTATGGGATAAATGGGATAATTGGGATATTTAATATGGGATAATTCCAGTATGTCACTTAAGAAAACAAACAAAAAAACCTAAACCATTCCTACAGTATTTCCTTATTCAATTTCAAATAACTTGTATCTTTAGGGAAATCTTATCTAAAAACCTTATAAAATAATGTAAACATCTGCTTTGCAATGTGATTGATACATG